TAATGCGCACTACTATTTTTTTCAACCCCCTCCTGCCTGCACTACTATTACAGACTGCACCACTATTATAGACTGCACTACTATTACAGAAAATACGGTAACTTCTATTCCAATTGTTCATGTAATTATTATAAAAAAGATTACCTGTATGCTTAAAGATCTCATAATCTCGAGAAATCGATTTTTGAGCGAAAAATGGGGAGAAATGATTGATAAGGGGGAATGGAAATAAAAGGAAAAGAGGGAAAAGATTTCTTTAGCAAAAAAAAACTCTATCAGGTATTAAGAGAATTAAAAAGGGCAAAGGATTTAGCTTAGAATTCTAAATGCCAAACCTTACTTTTTTTTTTCTTTTTCTTTTCTTAGGGGGAATTTCTTACTTACCTACCGTAAATACTGTAATAGGACTCCACCCTCATAAGGACGGTGCGGAGTGTTGCGTAGTCTAGTTTTGAACGAGTTTTCTCGACACTGGTTTATGCTACAATGCGCGCTTAGGTATCAAAGAATAGCCGAAATTCAGGGCTATTTTTTGATACCAAAGACGCATTTTTGAAAGTACGAGCGCTTTGAAAAAAATGAAATACTAAAAAACTTTTGCGACTACGCGACTGTACGAGGGGGCTGAGGTACTATTACAGTATTTACGGTAGGTAATTCCTTGTTTTCGGGGTAAATTTTAAGTAACAGTTACAGTAATGGATTAAAAGTATTTAGATTTAGAAGATTGAAGATCAAACATCAGTAATATTTTCTAGTTCTAGGTATTTTAAGAAAGAAATTCCTTGTTCTCTAAAAGTCACAATGAAGTATTCGAGAAAAAGTCATAAATTCTTAGCCTTCCCGTCAATGTCTCCTCCCATAATTAGTGTCATCCTCGAAACAGAAAATATTTCTTTTCTTTTTCACTAAAGCTTTCGAACATCTTTACAAGAAAACTATGCATTTTAAAAAAGTGAATCTTGATTTTTGATGGAAAGATAAAAATCTGCTTTTCAATGCCATAGATCCATAATTAATCAATTACTAAGTACGGGTGAAAAATAAAATACTAAAAGACTTTTGCGACTACGCGACTGTACGAGGGGGCTGGGGTACTATTACAGTATTTACGGTAAGCTTTTTCTTTACTTGAATTATTCATTTTTCTTTAAAATTTAAACTTTCTGTGAGTATAGCTTTTATAAAGCTTGAAAGTCACAATTTTAGACTCAACACCTTTCAATCTTTAGCACAAAATCCCCACCAATTTTCAGCTTTACACTGCCGACAGCATTTGACGAATATAAAGATGAAAAATTTCAAGAAACATTTCATTTTCAAATGATTTCCACTTTAGAATCTCTAAAAGCTTTATTATTTTTCTCAACATTTACAGCAAGTTGTTCTGTTTTATTTCTCTTGACTTCATTCAATAATCTCAAGAATGAACTCGACTTTCAAATGGACGTTCTTCTGGGAGAAGTTGAACAGTTTAAGGTAAAAACTATTCAAGTTTAGATTCATTTTTTGAACTTTTACAGATTTCAACTGATCAAGCTTGGACAGGAGTCTTAGAGTTGCAAGATAATTTACAAATTGGGACGATTAAAAGACGGAGTATTGTGGAGAGAGATATCTTTCTCAATATGGTACACAAAAGAGTTGCAAAAGAGGTTGGGAAATAAGGATAGCGATGAATAAATTGAAGAAATTCATTTTAGAAACGAAAAAGATTCGACTCCCGATTGCCAGCTTGGTGTCAGTGTGAAGCAGTCAGACCTCGATGCCCGCATGGACCACCAGGACCAAGAGGAAGACCTGGAGCGCCTGGAAGTAAGGAACTCAAGTTTTTAGTTTTAAGTTTGCATTCAAAATACAAACTCTCAGTGTCTGGCCGAAGTGGAATGCCCGGGAAAGACAATTATTTCTCATTTCCTTTTGCTTCTTGTCCACAACGAGGTGCAGGATGTGTTCGTTGTCCAGCTGGATTGCCTGGTTTTCCTGGTAGAATGGGATTCAGGTTAATGCCAATGTAAGCAAAATAATTTCCTTTCAGAGGATCAACAGGAGAGCCTGGTCGCCCTGGATTTAACGGCATTCCGACAGCTCGTGGTCGTCAAGGTCCACCAGGGCCAATTGGGAATTCGGGAAGGCCAGGTTGTAGCCCCAGATTGATCTTTTTCTTACCGTTCTTTTTTAGGTCTACAAGGGTTCCCAGGCAGAATGGGTCCACCAGGATTACCGGGGATTCAAGCAAGTAAGTTCAATAACAACAACAGTTCAAATAATAAATAACAATTTAATAATCCTTTAATAACAAATTCAGTTGGTCACAAAGGTTTACCGGGTAGAAAAGGTCGATCTGGAGATGTTGGTGTGCCGGGAGCTGGAGGACGACCGGGAAAACCCGGTTTACCAGGACCAATGGGGCCAATCGGGTTTCCTGGAAGACCTGGGAAAAGAGTTTGGCTTTACTGATATTCAAAATCAAGATACATCAATTCAGGGAGACAATGGTTGGTCTGGTCCGCCAGGATTTTCTTCTGGACCTGGTCTTGATGCTGGTTATTGTCCGTGTCCACAAAGAGGGAAAATGACTTTACGAAGGAAACAAAGCGATTGAATTTCGTGAAGTTTACAAGAATAAATCTCTTTTCTTTTATTTCTCAATGATACGAAATAATTGCAGGTTTAAAATCGAATATATCTTATTGTTCACCATAAGCTCTCTTCAGAGTCATTAAATGCACAAATACTCAAAAATTCCTGTCGGCTCATCGCCCAAATCGTATGGAGTGACCGCCATTCAAATAAGTGAAGAGAACAAAGAGATTGAAGAGAAAAAGACAGACAAAAAGGATCGTTCTCTTTCTGTGGTCAAAGAGAACTCTTCTTTTTCTTTTTTTTGGATGGTAGCATTGGAGAGTGGGGTAATTGGCCGCCAAGTGTCGACCACATACTGGGCATTGTCGGTGGGAGATTGGAGAGGGGAAAATCGCCCATAAACAAGTTAAACCTTTCTAAAACTGGTTCATTTTTATGTGAGGACAGTTTCTCCCACTCAAATATTGTTTCAAATGAAATTCTTTTGAACTTTTATCTTTAATTGTATATTCTTTAATCTCGTTTCAAAGTCTGCATTCATCCAGAGCAGCTTTGGTTTTAAGTTCTTGCTCTTGAGAAAATTTTGTCTACAATTGGCAAACCCTGTCTCTTTCTGAGGCCGATCTACGATTGATTGGTGATTCAATCTTCAATCTTCAATCTACAATCACTAATCAAAACTTTCCCCATTAGCAAAAGTTCCCCTGAGAGTCTCTTCTAAGCATTCATTCATTGTGTTCACTTTGAAAGACTCTCAAAAAAGCGGCAATAGTGAAAGGACCAAAAGAGGGTCAAATGAATGAAAAGAAAAGAAGAAAGGACTTTCCAACAGATGATTCTTTTCACATTTCTCAAGTGGGACGCCTTGTTCGTTCAAAAGAAATCTTTTTACTATCAGCAGTTGGGTTTTTCTTTAAATTAACTCTTTTAGTTCATTTTTGTAGATAGCCAATATTCTTCTACTGCCATTGTAGTGCTTTGTCCATTTTCATTTCACTTTCACAGTAGAACTAGCCTGTACCCGACAGAGGGATAATTATCCCTTCTATTCCACTTTTCGATGCTTTTTTCGATTCAATCGACCGTTATTTCAAAAAAGATGTACAGGAGCAAAATTTATGGCTTAAATATGTAGGATTTCGAATATCTTGCATGGATAGGCAATTGTTTATAAACAAAGTGTTTACCGAAGATCAAATTACTCTAAAGTCCATTGCATCCATCTGGTAATTTTGTAAAAAGATGGATGCTCTGGGGGATACCCAGATTTTTCTGTAGCATCTTGTTGGCACCATAGCGCAGCCGCGAGGGCGCTGGTCTGTAGGCCACACGACCCGAGTTCGGCGCCAAGTAGTGCCTTTCCCTCTCGGCTTTTTGATTTTTTGTCATTTGTTTTACAACTAGATTATATTTCAAGACTTTTAAAATAAATTCCGTTTTTCTGGCTTAAAGATGGCTGAGAAAAAGCCCCTAACAGATGAAGACTGCTCTTTTATAAAGTAGATCTTGAATCCAGTTATTTATAAGCTAAGTCAATTTTTTTTGAACGCTTATACATTTTGTTGAACAGTTTTTATAATAAAATGCTCAGAAATCCATATATTGTTGTCTCTCTGCAACTGCATGTTTAGATGTATAGTTGTATGTTCACATGATGACGTTTTTTTTCGGTACTACAGCTTTTTGTTTGTGGGGTATTGTTGTCGGATCCTTTTCCCCGCTTTTGTGGAATGCTCGGATCCACTCAAGGCCATCGAACTCCACTTTGGGAATGGCATGGATGGCATCGATGGATAGATCTGAATAGAGAATAGAGAGAACAAGCTTTTTCCTTTCTTCAAATTCTTGAATTCATTCATTTTTCTTGACAAATACACATTGACCTTGTAATCGAAAACATTTGAAATTTCTTATTTATATTGAAATTTCCAAAATTAATGCTATCTAACTACTTTAAAGCATACTTTAAAGCTATTTTCATTCTTTTTTTTCCTCTTTCCTCTATTTTCTGTATTACTCTTTATACCTTTATTCACTTTATACCTCTATTCACTCTAATATACCTCTATTCACAAATCCCACTGTCTTTTTTTCACTAACTCTAACTTTATAAATAAATTTTCTTTGTTAAAGCCTTAACTTTTATTTACCAGAATGAATCTGAGTGACATATTCCCGATTATTCACGATATTAATTCAACAATCGAGCCAATTTCTGCAATCCGATGGATTTCCGATATTATTCTAACAGATCCAAGAAAAACTGGGTAATTTAAAGCAGATTTTGACTAAATAGAAAGTTTAGAGAAGGTGATGATATCCTTTCAACAATGTCAATCACAAGTGGATGGCTTCAAACAATGATTCTCTTAATGATTCACGGACTTTCTTTCATATTGAATATTTTCTTCATCATGATTCTTGTTGGACGAAGGAAAACGAGGAAAGTGATGAAGTGAGTTTATTGTTGAAATCGTTTTTAAATCTTACTTTTAGGCTTCGAGTGATGTTGACAGCGATATCAGTGTTAAATGTGATCTTCAATGTAACATGGTTTATTTGCATTGTTATTCACTATTTGGTGAATCTCGAAGAAGGGACTCTCATTGATGATTTGGATAAGGAATTCAGTCAAATTGTTTGGGTCAGTTTTTTCGCTTATCTTTGACGATTTTGATTTAAAAAACAGGCTTTTCTGACTCCAAAGAGGCACCGAGAGATAATTAATAGTTTTACGGCCATGAATTGTTCCTATGCTTGAAAGATGGAGTAAAACAAATACAGCCAATTGATTTTCCGATCCCAAAACCCTCGGATGCAAATTTTTGGCTTTAGATCTCATCAGAGCAATGTTTACAGAACAAAAGAAAATCACTTTGTTAGGTAAGCTAGAGGATCTTTGTGTGACCGCGTAATCGCTCACGATCTGGCCAACGACTTTCTGGTATACCCCGGGAAAGTCGTTTCGTATCGGTTTGTATTCCTATGCCTCAGTCTGGTAACCAATCCACTTATAAGTCTCATAGGGGTAGCACAATCTCAAACAGCAGATTTTCAATCAGCCAACTTTTGACTAGTGTTCGTGAGTTTCCTCCACTGTCCAATCTTCGATTCCAAGTACCTTTAGTGGTGCGCAGGGGACTGCAGGGAATTTTTTGATTTTTCCCAGGACTTGTCCGTAGGGTTGGCAAAGAACTAGCAATAAAAATGAAACTCTGTAGAAAGTTAAAGGATCTCCGCAACTAGACACTTAAAAGTTATCAATCAAAGTTCACGTTAACGATAAGACAGAGCCGTGCCTCTCTTGTTTTCTAAAAAAGTCACTAACTGAACAATTTCCAGGAGATTTTCGGACATCAATGTGTAGATTCTCTTTTGGCAGTGCAATCGGTTTTCTTGCTTAGTTTAAGGTGAGTGAGCCTTTCTGAACTTGAACGTCAAGATCTTTAGCATTTTTAATTAATATTTCAGTATGGATCGATATTTAAACCTTTTCATTGACTATTCTCCATACATTGGTGGATGGTGTGAAATGATTTCAATCTTCACAATCCCTTTTCTTCTCGGTATTATTATTTTCGATCATCGATGGGTTGAGTTCCTTGTGCCTCGCTCAAGTGCTCTCTTTGCCAGGTAAAAACACTAAAATAAGATTATGGTTAGCTTGCAAGGCTCAGACTCAGCTCAGCTCAGCTCAGGCTCTGCTCAGGCTCTGCTCAGCTCAGCTCAGCTCAGCTCAGGCTCTGCTCAGCTCAGCTCAGGCTCTGCAAGGCTCTTGCAAGGCAATTGATGATAAAATTGTGGATTTAGTGAAAAATCTCTTTCAGATTATGTGGCCTTCTTCTTCCCCATCTCCTTTCATTTGTCCTTTTATTAGTTTCATCGATGAGACCTCCACCTACATTTGACTATGAGCCTCGAATGGCATCATCTCTAGCCAAGTAATAACAAAATCGTTGTCAAAACCGTCTTTCAGATCTTTACCAATAGTTCTCTTCATGATTGTCACAACGGATCTCTTTGCTCGAGCTGGAATCTTCTTTGAACTCCTCGAGCTTAACTTCGGCTTTCTCATCGTGATCGGTTCTGATTCAGCCGATTATTATTTGAATGAATTCTTCCGCAGCTGGTATCAGGTATTATAGAAAATACGATATGAAAATAAATATTCAGCTGTCAAATATTTTGATTCATTGCTTTCCTCTTTATTTCGTACTTTCATTGATTCTCTTTGTGAGGCACTATCGACAAATGGCTATGCGAATATTGCCAAGTGAGTGAAAGAAAAATGAACATCAACATCATAATAACAAATATTAAACAAATATCTGTATAAGGTTTAGGCTGTTGCTGCTTTTGTTGTGGAGAGAAACGGGAAAAAGTCGACTACAGCTCGGAAACGATTCGATCAATGATGGCTGAGCAGAGGAAAAGACGAATGCTTCAAGCATCAATCCATTGATATCAAAAATAAATAGAGTTTATCGTTTTACAAAACCAAATCGATTCTACATATTATTAGACATCTTTAAAGGCTTTGAATTAATGTCAACGTTGTCCTATTGAGTAATCAAAATCGAACCGTATTGGAACCGTATCAGATCAAAATAGGAACCGTATTGGAACCGTATTGGAACCATATTGGAACCGTATTTGATCAAAATAGGAACCGTATTGGAACTGTATTGGAACCGTATTGAAACCGTATCAGATCAAAATAGGAACCGTATTGGAACCGTATTGGAACCATATTGGAACCAAATTTGATCAAAATAGGAACCGTATTGGAACTGTATTGGAACCGTATTGAAACCGTATCAGATCAAAATAGGAACCGTATTGGAACCGTATTGGAACCATATTGGAACCAAATTTGATCAAAATAGGAACCGTATTGGAACTGTATTGGAACCGTATTGAAACCGTATCAGATCAAAATAGGAACCGTATTGGAACCGTATTGGAACCATATTGGAACCAAATTTGATCAAAATAGGAACCGTATTGGAACTGTATTGGAACCGTATTGAAACCGTATCAGATCAAAATAGGAACCGTATTGGAACCGTATTGGAACCATATTGGAACCAAATTTGATCAAAATAGGAACCGTATTGGAACTGTATTGGAACCGTATTGAAACCGTATCAGATCAAAATAGGAACCGTATTGGAACCGTATTGGAACCATATTGGAACCAAATTTGATCAAAATAGGAACCGTATTGGAACTGTATTGGAACCGTATTGAAACCGTATCAGATCAAAATAGGAACCGTATTGGAACCGTATTGGAACCATATTGGAACCAAATTTGATCAAAATAGGAACCGTATTGGAACTGTATTGGAACCGTATTGAAACCGTATCAGATCAAAATAGGAACCGTATTGGAACCGTATTGGAACCATATTGGAACCAAATTTGATCAAAATAGGAACCGTATTGGAACTGTATTGGAACCGTATTGAAACCGTATCAGATCAAAATAGGAACCGTATTGGAACCGTATTGGAACCATATTGGAACCAAATTTGATCAAAATAGGAACCGTATTGGAACTGTATTGGAACCGTATTGAAACCGTATCAGATCAAAATAGGAACCGTATTGGAACCGTATTGGAACCATATTGGAACCAAATTTGATCAAAATAGGAACCGTATTGGAACTGTATTGGAACCGTATTGAAACCGTATCAGATCAAAATAGGAATCGTATTGGAACCCTATTCGAACCGTATTGGAACCATATTGGAACCGTATTAGATCAAAATAGGAACCGCATTGGAACCGCATTGGAACCGTATTGGAACCGTATTGGATCAAAGTAATCAAATCAAAGAAACAAAATCCAAAGAAACATGGCACATAACTTTTGTTGAATGCATAGGGCAAAACTCAATTTCCTTAATTTCCCTATTCCTGCATAAGTTTTTCAAAAAATTCTTTCCAAAAAATGATTGGATAACCGATAAGATTGGATCGAAAATCCTCGAGAAAATTGAGGAGATCTTTTCTCTCTCAAATTTTTGCTCATTCGTTGAAATGAATCGAAAAAGAGGTACAGAAAAGCTGGAAAAAAAATGAAAATCCATCCATTCATCCATGAAAATCCTAGCTAAAATAAAAAGAGAACAAGTCAAGATAAACTGAGATCATTTTCTTGAAAGATCTCTTTGTTCATCCTAAGATTTTAACTGCCTTGATTGGCATGGAAAGTATTGATTCTTTCATTTGGATTAACTAGTAACTTCATGCAAATTTACGCCAAATTTTCATATTTCTGGTATCATATTACTGGTTTATCTCAAAAAATGTCTTTAGACTCACATTTTTCACTTATCATTTCAACCCAAAGTTTGAGCTACAGTAGCGGACATAATTTTGGAAACTTTTGTTTTTTCTAAAAAAAAATTTCTTAGTAAAATCTGATTCGGTATGTTTACTAGCGGAAATATGTAGACCTAAAAAGCACGTAATAATCCATAGACAGAACTGCTGAACTTTTTGAAAACTATTATTTTTAATGCATTTATCTATAAAGCCAGAGGACATAAATTTGGAAACTTTTAAAAACAACTCTAAATAATAACGTAACAAACCATTAAACTTCTAAATTAAAACAAAAACAAATAAATCAATTCAATACTTTGTGAAAGATCCTTTAGAATCAATAATAGTCTGGCACCGAGTGCTCATCGAAGCGACCAAGTTGTCGATGGTTGTTGTTTGAATTTCCATCCACTTCTTAGCCAAAAGCTCGAATTTTTCATTAAGATTATGGCTTTAAACGCCTGACAGGCTTCCTCCAGAACTTCCTATGGATGTTCAATATGGTTTAAATCAGAACTCTTGGCTCGGCCATTCCATAAAATAATTCCTTCCTTCTGAAACCAGTCCTTTACAAGCCGCGAAGTATGTTTGTCTTGTTGAAAAAGAAAGTTGGAAGGCATCAACTGAAAGGCATTCAACTGGACGGAAGCTTATGTTTCGATAAAATGTCCAAGCAAGCACGTTTGTCTATAATTCCATCAGTGCATTTTAATGGGATTATTCCGTAAGCTGAAAAGCCACACCATACAAGATCACTACCACCGTCATGCTTCAAAGTCGGAATTACGTATCCTTTACTGAACCTTTTGTTGGTATGACGACGAACATATTGAAAGCCATCAGATTCAAACAATGTGAACTTACTTTCGTCCGAAAAGAGGCAAATAGACCATTGTTGAGCCGTCCAATATCGATGATCTTCTGTGAATTTGTCCCGAAGCTTGCGGATCTTTGCGGAGATCAGTGGCTTATGAGCAGGACGTTGACCAAACAATCCAAATCCGCGTAAACGACGTTGTACTGTCTTTGAACTAATTTCCTTCTTGACTTTGTCAGGCAAATCCGCGTAAATCTCGACCGATGACTTCTTTGGATCAGCCTTTGAAAGAGTTTTCATCTGCAAACCATCTCGTTTTGTCGTCTTTCTGTGTTTTCCCGTATGCTTATGAGCATTTGCTGTTCCAGTTTGAGCGTATCTTTTTAAAATTTTTGATACAATACTCTTTGAAAGACCAAGAGATCGAGAGATAAATGTCTGCTTCTGCCTATTTTGGTGCATCCATACAACATCTTCGCGTTTCTCTGTTGAAGTCTCTTTCTTGCTGCTCATCTATAAAAATAGTTAAAATAATTAGTAGAGGTTTAAAAAGATAAAAATAGAACAAAAAAGTAATACACTTGAGGTTTTTATGAAAGTTTCCAAATTTATGTCCTCTAGGTTTATAGATAAATGCATTAAAAATAATAGTTTTCAAAAGTTCAGCAGTTCTGTCTATGGATTATTACGTGCTTTTTAGGTCTACATATTTCCGCTAGTAAACATACCGAATCAGATTTTACTAAGAAATTTTTTTTAGAAAAAACAAAAGTTTCCAAAATTATGTCCGCTACTGTATGTTGCTGATTTGTTTTACAACTTTAACTCAAAAGTCAAGGCTAATTCGCTTTGAGATTCGCTCACTCGATCAGTTCCAATCCATCATTGAATCCAAATTTGGATTAACATTTTGTTCAAATGCAAGAATTACAGCATCAAAAATTGCCACGTATTGATTGGAAACCCTCGCCAAAAATTTTAGAGAAAAGGAAATAGTGTTCAAACAAGTCTTATCTCTTCCATTTCTTTTATTTGCATTCAACCTTTGTCACCTCTTTCAATACTCTTGCATTGATTTTAATTCCAAACTTCTAACAATAATGATGAGAGACTTTTCCTCTGTATCCACTAAAGCATTTTTAACTATTGTCATTGTTATTGGGGTTTTGATATTATTGAGATATCAAATTGAACCGAGTTTGACAAATGAGGTGCCATTAAAAGTTCGGTAAGTTGAAATGATAAAATTTTACTTACCGTAAATACTGTAATCATAATGACGGTGGGGAGCGTTGCGTAGTCTAGCTTTGGACGCGTTTTTCTCGACACTGGTTTATGCTACAATGCGCGCTTAGGTATCCAAAAATAGCTGAAATTCAGGGCTATTTTGAGCTATTCAGAGCTATTCGTTTTTAAAGCCTAATATTTTGTAATTAGAATAGATTTCGAATGAAATACAATGTAATAAAATACAATATTTAAATTCTAAATACACGATTGTAACGTATTGTAACGATTGCAACGATTGTAACGATTACAAACGATTCTAAATATAAACGATTGTAATGTAAAGTCAACGAATCTCAGAACTCGGAAAATCGTTTGGCGATATGGTAAAGCTCACCGTAAATACTGTAATAGTACCCCACCCCCATAATGACGGTGGGGAGCGTTGCGTAGTCTAGCTTTGGACGCTTTTTTCTCGACACTGGTTTATGCTACAATGCGCGCTTAGGTATCAAAAAATAGCTGAAATTCAGGGCTATTTTTTGATACCAAAGACGCATTTTTTGAAAGTACGGGCGCTTTGAAAAAAATGAAATACTAAAGAACTTTTGTGACTACGCGACTGTACGGGGGGGTGGGGTACTATTACAGTATTTACGGTAATTTCATTTAGAGAACCAGTGGCTCCCATTGCAAAACAGCAGAAAATTTGTGAAATCACTGAAGTCAAGGGATCTGATCATTTCTTTCCAAGAACTCTCAGAGAAGATGAATTCAAATCACGTGGGCGATTGATTGGTAACACTTGTGAAGAAGTTAGAGATCATTTTTTTACAAGAAAATTGTTTATTACAGGTTTGGGATAATTGGTTTCAAGCAAATAAGGATAATCCTTATGAGGAACCGCCAAAAGAGATGCCAGATGAATTGAGAGATCAATATACACTTTATGGAAGAATACCATTGTTAAAGGCGTACGATATTCATTAATATATTGAAAGGTTTTAAATTTCAGATATTACAATGAAAAAAGTGTGCCTAAAGCAGCCGTTTGGGATACAGTTGATGAACTAATGACTCTACCAGAAGCTGAACTTTTCCAGAGATCCACTTACAAAGAAAGAACAAGTTGGAAACTTTAAAAAAAAAAGCTCTAAGATGAAAATTTTTTTCTTTTAGAAGTCGTTTATTCAGCACTCTCATACTTTCAAGAGTATTTTAAGGGAAAAAGTGGAGCTGTAATTGGATCTCAAAGACCGTGGGTGAGTGAAGAACGTCTTCTGCTTCTTCCTCTTCTTCTTCTGCTTCTTCCTCTTCTTCTTCTGCTTCTTTCTCTTCTTCTGCTTCTTCTTCTGCTTCTTCCTCTTCAATCAAATTTTTACCGTTTTAGGCTGAGGTTTACGCATTGAGACACGGAGCCACCGCTGTGCTCACTGTTGAATATCAGAAAACGGAGATCAAGGTTTGCTTGAGTAATCTGAAAAGCCTGAGCCTTACCTTAGTCTTCAATCTTTCAGACAAATCAGCCACTCAGCTGGATTCATCCACTCGATTTGGCAAAGAATTGGACAAAGTATGAAGTGTTATCTTTAGAAAGACAACAGTTTTCTAGCTTTCAAGAGAAGTGGGATTTCGTGATTAGCTACTCATCGATCGAACACAGTGGACTTGGAAGGTAGATAAAGGAAAAATAGGAATCAAAAACAAGCTCTTAATCGACTGGTTAAGAGCTCTGTATCTTAGTCGAGAGATCAATGGTTCAATCCCGCTTTCTGATTATATCTTTAGCCATTTAGCTAGTTGTTTTAGATATGGTGATACTCCTGATCCATGGGGTGATCTTCGAGAAGTCGCCAAAATGCATTGTCTTTTGAAGCCTGGCGGTGTGATGTTACTGGGTTTGCCCGTAGGTTGGTGAAGGATAAAAAAATTAAATGAAAATTCACCCAAAACTTCTAGGTGATGACGCCCTTGTTTGGAATGCTCACCGAATATACGGATCGATTCGATTACCGTGGATTATGCAAGGTAAAAAAAGGCGATTATGAGAATCATTAATGAAACAACTTTATCTATTTACCTATTCATTTTAGGATTCGAATTGCTGGGTGTATTTAGTTTGAAAGGATCCGAAATACAAATGACAACTGGCTTCCCGTGGAGAAATATCGAACCAAAAAAGACAATTGCCTGGGATTCATTCATTCAACCGGCTATCATTCTACAAAAAGTTAGAGATTAACGCTTTTGTGTTTTTGCTGTTAAGTTAATCAAGATTTTTGGTCTATTGATGTTGAGAATTCGTTGGAAATTATTAAATTTATTTTAAAAGCAATCAATTTACTCCCTCAATAGTGACTGTTGATGAATGATAAGTTTTTCTCACAAATGATAGAAGAAAACGTCGCAAAGTATGGCGATAAGTTTTAGATGCAAAAATCACGACCAAACTGTTGAGGGGAGAGTGAAGTGAGGTGTAGAGAAATGTCAGAGAAATCACTGGAACAAGAGAAATTTGATTTGAGCTGGTTTAGGCTTTGGTTTAGACGCTGGTTTAGGCGCTGGTTTAGGCTTTGGTTTAGGCGCTTGTTTAGGCTTTGGTTTAGGTGTTGGTTTAGGCTTTGGTTTAGGCGCTGGTTTAGGCGCTGGTTTAGGCGCTGATTTAAGCGTTAATTTAATAACAATTTCACCTACCACGAAGCAGAAAATCATTTTGAATAAGACTTGTAGCGATAACAGTTGCAAGCAGGATAATCGGCAAAACCACGCAAACAAAAAGCACATTTGTCTAAAGTATTTGTAAAGAAGAAAGCAGAATAAAACCTGAAGGAAGAACATAATCGTAAAATATTTATGTAATTCTCTCGTTTTTGAGCTCGCTGATGTCTTTCCCAAATTCCGATGAGCATCAAAGATTAAAACACATCCAAAACAATTTGTAATACCAATTAAAATAAATTCAAAAACGACAAATTTCATCACAAATAATTGAAGAGGACTCCAATTTGGGTGATAACCAAATGGAGGATTGGAAAGTGGTGAACAGATTGAATCCAATTGAGCGCAAACCTGTGAATTGTGAAGGGAATTCGGTTAAAACAGAACTCTCTCACCATTTCTTCGTCAACTATAAATGAGTTTTCGAAAAAAGCATCGATAAAGATCAACTCCAGACAAAGAACAAAACTGATTGTTGCTAGAATCGATAACCATTTCATAAAAGAGATCAATCGAGCAGAAACACGACGATTTCCAGCTTGCAAAGACTCGATTTTCATCCAAAAGCCCAACAAATAAGTTGCTAGGAATAAACCTTCAAAAATCCAATAAAGACACTAAAATACACTTATCTTAACATTCTTTTATTTAAATATTATTTATTTACTATTACTTTATATGTTGGGTTGGTGAATTGAAAACTGCGGGCTATTGTCATATGTGACAGTTTTAGAACTTTCTGTAAAAGAAACCCATTTTGGTGTCAATAAAAAAGTTGTAGAGAATCAAAAATCAAGCTTATATCCAAATTTTCAGAACGATTCAAAAACTGGTTTTCAAGAAATGCCAAATTTACGAATTTTCACAAAACTTGCATTTTAAGCGAAACTACTAAGTGTATCTTTTTGGAAATTTGGCTATAAGCCTAATTTTTGATTCTCTACAACTTTTCTATTGACACCAAAATGGGTTTCTTTTGAAGAAAGTGCTCAAACTGGGACATCTCCAGTCCTCCATTTTTGAGTCTCACACTTGTCTCACACACAAACCAAAATCCTACTACGAAAGAGGAATTCGCAAATTGCCCGTAAAATGAGCAGAAGTCGTCAATAATAATGGAAATTATTTGGAATGAATTCGTGGTTTTATGTTGAATAAATTTTGGTTCAAAGTCCCGCAGTTTTCAATTCACCAACCCAATATTTAACTTACACATAATACAATAACAATTTCAATTGATTGAACAAATCCATTTAAAAATATTCCCAAAAAATTTGGCATCAAGAAAATCAACTTTCCGGGAGTGGCAATAAGATCAGCCAACATTGAAAAACTCTTTGACAATAAAGATTAATAAAGAATTATAAAAAAAGACTTACCAATTGAAAGAGAAGAACTCTTTTATATTTTGTACTGGCAAGGGATTTTTGAAAGATCAAAAAATAGATTGCAAGACAGAAAAAAATGATGCATAAGATGGATATAATGGTGTAAATGATATCGATTGTTTGAAGAAATGCTCGATTTGGTTTAAACATCGTTATTACTTTCTGAATAAAGTATTTCTGATTTTCGAATCTCTTTTAAACCACCAAAAACAGGTGCTAATTCGATATTTCGCTCTCGAAAAGAAAAAATTCTCAAAACGAATCAAATTATCGCCTTTTCAATGAACTCTAGATTTATTTACTTAAAAATTGAGATGTCATCAAGTAAAAGAAATGTGTACTTGATGTTTAGCTGTTAAAAGATTACATTGATCTAAAAGTTTTACAAAAGCAACGAATCTATTTCCCAGGAGACACTTTTTAAAGTTTGAAATTAGTCATTTGGTTTTTGGCTTTCGAATGATCAAAAAAAAAGTTTTGTAAAGTTTTTTAGTAAAGTTTATCGAGATCAAAAATGGGTAAAACAAGATTTGCCTTCAAATAAATTATTAGTTTTCTTAAAAATTCAATTGTCAATGTGTCAACGAACAAATAAAAACAATGTGCAATAATCTCTGGCAATACAGACATCAAATGCAAAGGTTTGTGGGAGTATAACCAAATCCTGTAAAGTACCAAATACTCAATCATTTAACTAATACAGTCATCAAAAAAGTCTTCAACCATTGTCTCCCAAAAATATTTTTCACAAAAATAAGCGTTAAAGAGAATGTCTGGATCCTAGAAATAAATATTTTAAAGAAATCCAATTAGTTCCTTACGTCTCCCATCAATTTGACTTCAGGTATCATCTCCTGCATTCCATGCAGTTGCTCATTGTTCAATTAGTTTTTTTAAACATTCAAGTGCCAAGGTGTCAGCGAACAAATACAAACAATATGCAATAATCTCTGGCAATACAGTCATCAAATGCAAAGGTTTGTGGGAGTATAACCAAATCCTGTAAAGTACCAAATACTCAATCATTTAACTAATACAGTCATCAAAAAAAGACTTCAACCATTGTCTCCCAAAGACATTGTTCAAAAAAATAAACGTTAAAGAGAAAACTTTTTCGCAACTAATTCTACCATTGTGGTATAGTTTTCGAATAAGAGCAAAACAGAAAAAAATAACAAAGGAGTTAACCACAAAAAGCAAGCAAAAAAATAGAATAACTTTAATACTTTGTAGCAGCTCCTTTTGCTTGAATGATCTTTTGTAGTCGTCTGGGGATCGATGAGATGATTGAGCAACACTTGTTGAGAGATCGCCATCCATACTTGCTCCATATGGATCCATAGTTCAGCCTTGTTTCGAAATTTTTGTCCTTTGAGTTTTCGCTTAACAATCGACCATAAATGTTCGGGTTGAAGTCGGGGCTGTAAGGTGGTGTTCGACGCAATTCCACTCCATTTTGAAGAAAAGAAAAGCATTCTCTAGATTGCTTTCAACAATTTGGTTCATTGTGGGCAGGCGCCCCACCCTGCTGAAAGCACCAAATTTTGTTCCCGAAATGGTTTTATGCCTAAAAAGTAGCAAAGATAGTCAACGGCATAACGGCAAAGCACAGCAAACAGAGGTTGGTTCGGGTAATTTTAGAGCACCCTGTATTATCTGGGGGATCTCAGAAAGCTGAGGGAAGTGTCTTATATTATAGGCGCATATAGTTAGGGATCAATGCTGGAAGCTCTCTAGGATCTGGAGTTTATAAGCGCTTATAGTTGCCTAACCTAGAGAGCTTGCAGCATTGACTTCCTCCGGGATCTGCCTAAGTGCAGAGAACTTGCAGCACCGGCCCCCAAATATAGGTGTCTATAATGTCTATAATGTCTATATAGAGAAAAAAAATGTCTTATATCTTGTAAAAGCAAGAAATCAAGTGGAAAATGAACGGAAATTGTTCCTCCTTCCAGCTAATTTTTTTCTGAGATTCCCCCCTCCCCCAGATATCAAAAAAACCAAACTTTTCTTAAACTTGTTGAAAACCAAAGATTGAATATAAAGTTCGACCTCGCAAAAGAATTCAAAGAAATCTTTGTCCAAAATTAGAGATAACTACAGGCTTTCTCTCAAGATTGCTCTAAATATTACCTATGAAAAACCTTGCAAGCATTTTCATTTAAGAGCAACTTCCTCATTTTTCTGAAACTAATAAAAACTAACTCATACAACTTGATTTTTTATATTTCTTCTGATATCTTCTGACCTCAAAAACCAGATTTTTAAAATTCACCTGTCTCAGCTTTCCATTGCCAGTCTAATTCTAATAATTTCTTATTGCAAGTTCTCAAAATGAAGCTTCAAATGTTGATGTTTATTAATATATCTGCTGGTTACGAAGATGAAATGGAAGCAATTATTTCCTTCAGTTATCTCCTCGAAACGTTCATCTATCTGTTGACCTTTTTAAGCATTCCATTCAGTCATTATGTTTCTTCAGCAGCTCGTGTAAGTGTAGATCAATTAACAGATCATCAACTCATCAACATCAACATAGTAACTTCAAATTCTAGATCTTTCATTCAAATACACTAATGATTATTCACACGGGATTCTATCATTTTTACCTCTATGGAATTTCTCGTTTTGTGATGATTGCCTATGAGATACAGCCTGGTGCTTGTGAAATCTATCAAGAAAGTGAGTTGAAAAGTCAAAGGGAATTGAAGAAAAATCTTTAGGCACCGAAACATGTTCGCTTGTGCTACAAGTTGCCTCATTTACGCGGGCTTATATGATAACGCTTGTTAACGGTCGGGTTAAATCAAGGCATACGATATATAAAATCAATGTCTGTCCGTCCGTCCGTCTGTCTGTCTGTGTGTCTGTCAGTCCGCCTGTGTGTCTGTCCGCCTGTCTGTCTGTCTGTCTGTCCACCGGTCTGTCAGTTCGCCTGTCTGTCTGTCCGCCGGTTTGTCTGTCCGCCGGTCTGTCTGCCCGCCTGTCCGCCGGTCTGTCTGTCCGTCTGTCTGTCGATCTGTCTGTCTGTACGCGCAAGTTCTCAGCTCGCCGTTGGCCGATTTACATGATTTTTAGTTTGTTAGGCTTATAACTATATGTAGTTGTGCATCGACACAGCCGGGAGTCGAAGTTGGGAGTGTGGGCGTGAGCCCAGCGCACTACTCACTGTGCCAAAGTTGAAAAAGTGCAAGTAGTGATATTTTTCGTATGGCCTTTATACCGAAACCCAACTTTTTGCTTAAACGCGACTCAAATTTTGTATTTATTTTGTATTTAAACTTGTGGTATTGATAATAGCACTTTTAGCCGGTCTTGCAGGAGTGATGATTGAGCGTATTGTGGCTACTGTTTACTTTGCCACATATGAACATCATTTCTATCAGCCATACTTCATTGGATTGATCCTTTTTGGAATCTTTGTTTCAATCGCGTTAGCGGGCTTTTTCACGTTTGGTGAGAAATGGGACTTGTGACTAGTTCTGATCAATTATTGATTGGATTATAGCTAAAGTTTCTTTGCGTTCTTCAAAACTTCCCTTAGATTTCTCTTTCTACCGTCGCGGTATCTCGAACAATATTGAAATCTGCGTCTCTCTTGTCACAGGACTTGTAAGGAGTTTTCTTTCGCCTGTAGAACAAAATCAAAAATCTAGATTGGTTTGTTGATGACATGGACAAACGAGAGACGAAAACGGAAACTTCACTCAATGGGCTACACATTAAGCAAAAAGTATCAACTGATAGTCAATGTGAAATCGATGAAAGTAAGGAATGATTGAAGGCTTAGGCGAGGCTTAGGCTTAGGCTTAGGCTTAGGCTTAGGCTTAGGCTTTCAATCAATTTCTGAAATAATCAACCTTTAGATTCTCTTACTCTACATCTTGCACACTGCCATAAACAACATCATTTACTCGCTTCTATATTTTTGTCATTTCACCACAACATCGTGGACAATTCGCAATATTTTAGGGATTATGCTCAATTTGCTTTTGGCCTTGTGAGAAAATGCATTTTTCATGACTAGATTTTTAGGCAATTCTTCAAATTCACGGTAATGATGCTATTCTGTGATCGTCAGTTGTACGAGTTCGCAAAGAGGATCTTCCTAGGGAAAATGAGAAGAATAAGGTGCTATTTGTCATTTGTACCGTTTTTAATGTGTTTTAAAAACAATTACATTTGCCTTCAAGCGTTCTATAGTGTTGAATTTGTTTCCAGGCGTATCAATGTCGAACCGAATAGACCGAAAGAGATTGTGGACATTCGAGTCAAAGATGTTAACGGAAAGGTGAACAGATGCTTCTGCTTTAATGTTAACCCATAACAAATGAGCCTAAAAACAGATTTTCAGGATATGTACACCGGGGCAAATCAAGACGATTACTTCACTCAATTGAAAGCTCAATGGGAGAGAATTCCATAATAAATCTTTATTTATAAGCCTTTAAGAAACTTATAGATTTATGGAAATGGCTACAAATACAATTTTAAAAGCTTATTTTAAAAATTCCACATTGAAAACACCAAAGAAATGGCTAAATGAGCAGAGAAAAGAGTGAAAGACGATTTTGTCTCTGGTTGAGCTGTAGTAGAAGCTGAGGTTGGATTGGCTGATGGTGGTTGAGTTGTAACCGACGAGAATGTAGGTGATTGACTAGTCAGATCGGTCGGATTGTTTGAAGCGGCAAATTGAATAGGTTGTGGAGTTGGATCAACCAGTAAAGTCTCATAGTTGGGAGGATTGTGTGCGAAAAAGCCAGTGATCAAAATGGGGCAAATTGTGAAAAGTTACGATCTGGGTGAGAAAAAGCGATAAATAAGCGTTTTCCCTTGTCACTCACCTCCAGCCAAATAGATAGCAAGTGGATCTTTTGCTGGATCATTCTTTGACTCCGTTAACCATAAAATAAATATTTTTTTACTTAAAATTGTTGAAATAAACCAATAAAACAAGCGCCAATTCGAGTTTCCACTTTGATTCCTTGCATCCAAATAACCCGAATAGGTTTTGAAGGGGGGATTGTAGCCGAGACCCGGGAACGGGATCTTGTTCTAATAATATGCTAATTATCAAATTAAATCAGAAAACCCGTCTAAAGGCAGTTTTTGGGGATGTTTTGAGGTTGGTAGGTTTCGTCGGCGTGACGCAGTCAGGAGCGCGCTTGTCTAAGAACCCACACTACTCGGGTTCGACCCCCCGTAGTGCCACTCAATATAGACTTTTTTATTTTTTATTTTAAATGGCACAACTATATTATATTTTAAGCCTTTTTTATCAACTGAACGAACTTGTGAATCGGTTAATGGTGAAGAAAAGGCCAAAATTGGAAGGGAAAAATAAAGTAACTGCTTCATAGAGACCTTTGGCTGCTGCTCTAAGAATAACTGGGGCAAATGGCAAATGTGGAAAGTTAAGGTCTGGGTGAGAAAAAATGAGAAATAAGCGTATCTTCGGTTTTTAGCCTTCTGAATTCTTAAATTTCCCTGATAAGCATGACGAGTGAGGCTTAGGTGTGAGTGAAAGAGTGAGTGAAAGAGGGGTTGCGTAAAAAGAGTTTATTTTCAAGTACATTCGCCGTTCCATCTTAAGCAAATGGTTTACATCATAAGTTTCTTTTGGTTTTTATAAGTTATGTCTGAGATTGTTGAGATAATCAGATGATGATTAAATGGTAGGCATTTTCAGTTCAGAGAAAATACACCCAAAAATTTATTCTCTCATTTAACTTTCTCTTTTTTCGTTTCGAATTCGTTTGCGAGGGAAATATTCTTGTAGAAACTGGCTGCTTTTTTGTTGGCTCGCAAAGTTCTGAAAGTGAATTGATCAAAATTTAGGAATCATAAAGATTGCGCCGCTGTGTAAAAATGAAAATTGCGCCGAATGGAATTGCCATTTGCTAGGGCTTTCGCTTTGTGCTAGTCTTGTATCAAAATTTAGCCCTTCAATTGGGCTACAAGATGGTATAAAAACTTTTAGAAAAACCGTTGTTTAGTACAAGAAAAGTAGCCGCAAAGTGATAGGATGAACACTACGCACCCATACAAAAGACGCTACGTTAGTATTGCGATGTACAGTCGGTGCTCTCACTTTGCGGTCATTTTTCTTGTACTAAACAACGGTTTTTCTAAAAGTTTTTTATACCATCGTGTAGCCCAATTGAAGGGCTACATTTTGATACCAGACTCGCACAAAACGAAAGCCTTGGTAAATGGCAGTTCCATTTGGCGCAATTTTCATTTTTACACAGCGACGCAACCTTGATGGTCTCAAAATTTAGCTTTTTACTTGTTAAAAATGTTCAAATTTTGCTAAACTAACGTAATGATCACACAAATAATTCCGACAGCGACAAGGAAAAGGTTGAGAGCGAGTGAAGCGAGGAAAATGCCTAGCCATGTTTTCTTTTCCTCTTCACAACCAATAGGGCAAAGAACATCGGATGAGGAATTGGGAATGGGTTCATTCTGCAATTTTTGACTTAAATTTTGGACAAATGCTCTTAAATATCTATAAGATACCATAATTATTTCGGACAATTTGGTTACAACATCGGTTGCATCCTCAGGTGAGTACATTTCTTCGGTATCACTTCGATAATAGACTTTATCCTGTAAATTGACATTTAAATTTGATCACTATTTTAAAAAGACAAGAAAACTTTCAAAATCTTTTTTTAATGACCTTTTCCATACTGTGAAAAGCTCTCCTTAGATATTGATCCAAAATCGGTCGCTCTGTGTTCCCAACTGATTGAAGAAAAGAAGCAATGTTCAACTAAAGCCATTTTTTCATAAAGTTTATTAACTTATTACATTTGCATAGATATAATTCCTCATTGTTGCCATTAAAGTGTTCTCAAAGAAATTGAGAGTTTGATTGAAACAAGCGATATCTTGCTCCGAATCGATCTCACAACGAGTGTCACATCCCGAGATTTTATAGTTCGGAGCAGTAAATTGGGAAGCGACAAAAGGAGGCTGAAATTGTGTAAATTTCAATAGTCCAATCTTTGAAAAGTTTAGTAAGTTTGCCTTGTAAAATGGATTGGATCAAGCTTTCCAAAAGATTGATCGCAAAATGTTGAACAGTTTAAATTTTGATAACATTACCTCTGCTAATAATAAAGTCAAAAATATAGTTAAAGCTGGATTCATTTAGAAATAAGTAAAATGTAGTCACTTTTTCAAAAGATAGACTTTCTGTAAATATTGAAAAGACACAAATTCAAAGGTTTTCCTCTTTTTTCTTTCAGTTTCTCTTGAAGAGTAATCCTCGGGTGTTCACACAAATGTTTACTTGAAATATTTTGTGAAAGTTTATTTATTTATAAAAACATTTAATCTTTCTTGATTCCATGAGTGGTGATGAGAGCTTCTTGAAAGATTTTTGCTGCTTGTCTCTCCTCTCTCTTTGTGCTGGAATTTATTGTTTTAATCCTTTACTATTGGGTTGGTGAATTGAAAACTGCGGGCTATTGTCATATGTGACAGTTTGAGCACTTTCTGTAAAAGAAACCCATTTTGGTGTCAATAAAAAAGTTGTAGAGAATCAAAAATCAAGCTTATATCCAAATTTTCAGAACGATTCAAAAACTGGTTTTCAAGAAATGCGAAATTTACGAATTTTCACAAAACTTGCATTTTAAGCGAAACTACTAAGTGTATCTTTTTGGAAATTTGGCTATAAGCCTAATTTTTGATTCTCTACAACTTTTCTATTGACACTAAAATGGGTTTCTTTTGAAGAAAGTGCTCAAACTGGGACATCTCCAGTCCTCCATTTTTGAGTCTCACACTTGTCTCACACACAAACCAAAATCCTACTACGAAAGAGGAATCCGCAAATTGCCTGTAAAATGGGCAGGACTCGTCAATAATAATGGAAATTATTTGGAATGAATTCATGGTTTTATGTTCAATAAATTTTAGTTCAAAGTCCGGCAGTTTTCAATTCACCAACCCAATAATTTTGATTTAATCAAAACACCAGAATCCTGTTTAATATTTGACAATAGAATGTAAATTCATAAAACCAACGCTAACAACATGGTCCCAGCAGCCAGAAGGAAGAAGACGATATTCAAAGTAGCTGAAGCGATAAAGATTGGCAACCAAGGAGAAAGTGATGTCTCACAACCACCAGGACAAGTTACAGGCAAATCGACGAATTTCTGAAATCCTATTTGTCTAATAGATTTCCTAAACTCACCGCATTCACATCAAGAGTCAGTTTTCTCACAACATCTTTCGCATCCTCAGGCGAGTACATTTCATTCATGTTGCTTTCACTGTAGATTTTCATCTGAATTATTATAGTTATCAGCCGAAAGACCCGGTTAACAGCGAGTTTTTCTGGGTTTGTTTTCCCATTGCGGTGGTTCAGTCGGGAGCGCGCTGGTCTACAACCCACAAGGCCCGGGTTCGACTCCCCGTCGTGCCATTCAGTGTTCTTTTTGATTTTAAATAACTTAACTATCTTATATTTTATATGTCGTAGCCGATGAAGGATTTCAGTCGAAGAAGTCTCAAAAATGAAATCTTGAGTTATGTATTGACTCAAGTCAATACCACAAACTCAAGCTCTCTAAAAGGCGCTTAAAAGCTAAAAACGCATTCTATTTGCAGTTGCATTTTGCATTTTTCATTTTTCGACCAAACTAAACAACAAAAATAAACAATAATACCACCGGTTCACGAGTTCTTTGACCTAAAAGCAAACAATATAAAGCATCATAAAGAAATTCGATAGGACACAAAAGTAAAACCTTATCAATCTGTTGGCGAACTCCTTTCTGTTGTCGGAGTAAAGAATTTTTGGGGCTCCAAACGTTCCGAATATTTCCATTAGATGATCGACAACTTCAAATTGTGTTTCCCTTTGCAATGCCCGCAAAACGACGAACTTTGTGAAATGATCCTGGTAGACCATCAAAAACTTTGAATTCTCCATCGGAAACGGATTGAAGATCGATTAAACCCGTGCCTTTGATGAATGACGAAAAGGGCCCTTTTATAGCCTTTGGTTATAGTATGATAAAATGCGCACTCTTTAGAATGCGTTTTTAGCTTTTAAGCGCCTTTTAGAGAGCTTGAGTTTGTGGTATTGACTTGAGTCAATACATAACTCAAGATTTTATTTTTGAGACTTAATCGGCTAGCCGAAGAAGTCTGAAACTTAATCGGCTGAAATCCTTCATCGGCTACGACATATATAAGATATAGACTTTTAAAAGAATTTCAGTGTTTTGGCCTAAAGACGAGAAAGCCCATACAAACGGACGAACGGGCAGACACTGCTTTTTAGTAGATTTGAAGGGCAAATGATAATCACTCTTCATGCAAATTTAGAAAAGAACGTTAGTTAAAAGGTGATAGATAGCCAAATTTCCATTAGGAAACCTTTTTCATCGAGTTTTCTGCATGATTGGCTGCAACATCGGGATCCAATGTGACCGCGTTGTTCAAAGTTGAGATCACTTGCTGAAAGATATAAAGATATCTGATTTTTCTCACAAAAATAACAAAAATAACAAAACAAAACAAAACAAAACAAAACTAAGAAACCTGTACATGCACATATTGTCTCATCGTTCCCATGAGAGTTTGTTGAAAGAATTGCAGTGTTTCATCAAAACACTTCACCGTTTTATCAAAAGTCACCGAGCATTTTGTACTGCATTGTTTTTCATTTAAATGCTCATCAGCGGCGATTGAATTGAAAAGAAATACACAGAAAATAAGCTAAACAAATTATATAAAACTGCAATGATTGATTGATTGATTGATTGATTGATTGATTGATTGATAAAGCAGTATTTCGAACCTTAAATACCATATCTCCCATATTTTGACATTCATATGAGTGCTTGAAAAGAATATTTTTTGAATGAGAATGGGTGAAACTGGTTGCGGGAATCGATTTTGAATCAAAATCATCAAAAGGGACAAAATGAGAGCAAAATTGTTTCTCTTTTTCTGTTTACCGAGTATTTTGATGATGAACAAATGTTCTTGTTGTAAATTTTTGAAAAAGCAATACCGTATTTTCTGTAATAGTAATGCGCACTACTATTTTTTTCAACCCCCTCCTGCCTGCACCACTATTACAGACTGCACCACTATTATAGACTGCACTACTATTACAGAAAATACGGTAACTTCTATTCCAATTGTTCATGTAATTATTATAAAAAAGATTACCTGTATGCTTAAAGATCTCATAATCTCGAGAAATCGATTTTTGAGCGAAAAATGGGGAGAAATGATTGATAAGGGGGAATGGAAATAAAAGGAAAAGAGGGAAAAGATTTCTTTAGCAAAAAAAACTCTATCAGATATTAAGAGAATTAAAAAGGGCAAAGGATTTAGCTTAGAATTCTAAATGCCAAACCTTACTTTTTTTTTCTTTTCTTTTCTTAGGGGGAATTTCTTACTTACCTACCGTAAATACTGTAATAGGACTCCACCCTCATAAGGACGGTGCGGAGTGTTGCGTAGTCTAGTTTTGAACGAGTTTTTCTCGACACTGGTTTATGCTACAATGCGCGCTTAGGTATCAAAGAATAGCCGAAATTCAGGGCTATTTTTTGATACCAAAGACGCATTTTTTGAAAGTACGGGTGCTTTGAAAAAAATGAAATACTAAAAAACTTTTGCGACTACGCGACTGTACGAGGGGGCTGAGGTACTATTACAGTATTTACGGTAGGTAATTCCTTGTTTTCGGGGTAACTTTTAAGTAACAGTTACAGTAATGGATTAAAAGTATTTAGATTTAGAAGATTGAAGATCAAATATCAGTAATATTTTCTAGTTCTAGGTATTTTAAGAAAGAAATTCCTTGTTCTCTAAAAGTCACAATGAAGTATTCGAGAAAAAGTCATAAATTCTTAGCCTTCCCGTCAATGTCTCCTCCCATAATTAGTGTCATCCTCGAAACAGAAAATATTTCTTTTCTTTTTCACTAAAGCTTTCGAACATCTTTACAAGAAAACTATGCATTTTAAAAAAGTGAATCTTGATTTTTGATGAAAAGATAAAAATCGGTTTTTCAATGCCATAGATCCATAATTAATCAATTACTAAGTACGGGTGAAAAATAAAATACTAAAAGACTTTTGCGACTACGCGACTGTACGAGGGGGCTGGGGTACTATTACAGTATTTACGGTAAGCTTTTTCTTTACTTGAATTATTCATTTTTCTTTAAAATTTAAACTTTCTGTGAGTATAGCTTTTATAAAGCTTGAAAGTCACAATTTTAGACTCAACACCTTTCAATCTTTAGCACAAAATCCCCACCAATTTTCAGCTTTACACTGCCGACAGCATTTGACGAATATAAAGATGAAAAATTTCAAGAAACATTTCATTTTCAAATGATTTCCACTTTAGAATCTCTAAAAGCTTTATTATTTTTCTCAACATTTACAGCAAGTTGTTCTGTTTTATTTCTCTTGACTTCATTCAATAATCTCAAGAATGAACTCGACTTTCAAATGGACGTTCTTCTGGGAGAAGTTGAACAGTTTAAGGTAAAAACTATTCAAGTTTAGATTCATTTTTTGAACTTTTACAGATTTCAACTGATCAAGCTTGGACAGAAGTCTTAGAGTTGCAAGATAATTTACAAATTGGGAGGATTAAAAGACGGAGTATTGTGGAGAGAGATATCTTTCTCAATATGGTACACAAAAGAGTTGCAAAAGAGGTTGGGAAATAAGGATAGCGATGAATAAATTGAAGAAATTCATTTTAGAAACGAAAAAGATTCGACTCCCGATTGCCAGCTTGGTGTCAGTGTGAAGCAGTCAGACCTCGATGCCCGCATGGACCACCAGGACCAAGAGGAAGACCTGGAGCGCCTGGAAGTAAGGAACTCAAGTTTTTAGTTTTAAGTTTGCATTCAAAATACAAACTCTCAGTGTCTGGCCGAAGTGGAATGCCCGGGAAAGACAATTATTTCTCATTTCCTTTTGCTTCTTGTCCACAACGAGGTGCAGGATGTGTTCGTTGTCCAGCTGGATTGCCTGGTTTTCCTGGTAGAATGGGATTCAGGTTAATGCCAATGTAAGCAAAATAATTTCCTTTCAGAGGATCAACAGGAGAGCCTGGCCGCCCTGGATTTAACGGCATTCCGACAGCTCGTGGTCGTCAAGGTCCACCAGGGCCAATTGGGAATTCGGGAAGGCCAGGTTGAAGCTCCAGATTGATCTTTTTCTTACCGTTCTTTTTTAGGTCTACAAGGGTTCCCAGGCAGAATGGGTCCACCAGGATTACCGGGGATTCAAGCAAGTAAGTTCAATAACAACAACAGTTCAAATAATAAATAACAATTTAATAATCCTTTAATAACAAATTCAGTTGGTCACAAAGGTGTACCGGGTAGAAAAGGTCGATCTGGAGATGTTGGTGTGCCGGGAGCTGGAGGACGACCGGGAAAACCCGGTTTACCAGGACCAATGGGGCCAATCGGGTTTCCTGGAAGACCTGGGAAAAGAGTTTGGCTTTACTGATATTCAAAATCAAGATACATCAATTCAGGGAGACAATGGTTGGTCTGGTCCGCCAGGATTTTCTTCTGGACCTGGTCTTGATGCTGGTTATTGTCCGTGTCCACAAAGAGGGAAAATGACTTTACGAAGGAAACAAAGAGATTGAATTTCGTGAAGTTTACAAGAATAAATCTCTTTTCTTTTATTTCTCAATGATACGAAATAATTGCAGGTTTAAAATCGAATATATCTTATTGTTCACCATAAGCTCTCTTCAGAGTCATTAAATGCACAAATACTCAAAAATTCCTGTCGGCTCATCGCCCAAATCGTATGGAGTGACCGCCATTCAAATAAGTGAAGAGAACAAAGAGATTGAAGAGAAAAAGACAGACAAAAAGGATCGTTCTCTTTCTGTGGTCAAAGAGAACTCTTCTTTTCCTTTTTTTTGGATGGTAGCATTGGAGAGTGGGGTAATTGGCCGCCAAGTGTCGACCACATACTGGGCATTGTCGGTGGGAGATTGGAGAGGGGAAAATCGCCCATAAACAAGTTAAACCTTTCTAAAACTGGTTCATTTTTATGTGAGGACAGTTTCTCCCACTCAAATATTGTTTCAAATGAAATTCTTTTGAACTTTAATCTTTAATTGTATATTCTTTAATCTCGTTTCAAAGTCTGCATTCATCCAGAGCAGCTTTGGTTTTAAGTTCTTGCTCTTGAGAAAATTTTGTCTACAATTGGCAAACCCTGTCTCTTTCTGAGGCCGATCTACGATTGATTGGTGATTCAATCTTCAATCTTCAATCTCCAATCACTAATCAAAACTTTTCCATTAGCAAAAGTTCCCCTGAGAGTCTCTTCTAAGCATTCATTCATTGTGTTCACTTTGAAAGACTCTCAAAAAAGCGGCAATAGTGAAAGGACCAAAAGAGGGTCAAATGAATGAAAAGAAAAAGAAGAAAGGACTTTCCAACAGATGATTCTTTTCACATTTCTCAAGTGGGACGCCTTGTTCGTTCAAAAGAAATCTTTTTACTATCAGCAGTTGGGTTTTTCTTTAAATTAACTCTTTTAGTTCATTTTTGTAGATAGCCAATATTCTTCTACTGCCATTGTGGTGCTTTGTCCATTTCCATTTCACTTTCACAGTAGAACTAGCCTGTACCCGACAGAGGGATAATTATCCCTTCTATTCCACTTTTCGATGCTTTTTTCGATTCAATCGACCGTTATTTCAAAAAAGATGTACAGGAGCAAAATTTATGGCTCAAAGATATAGGATTTCGAATATCTTGCATGGATAGGCAATTGTTTATAAACAAAGTGTTTACCGAAGATCAAATTACTCTAAAGTCCATTGCATCCATGTGGTAATTTTGTAAAAAGATGGATGCTCTGGGGGATACCCAGATTTTTCTGGAGCATTTTGTTGGCACCATAGCGCAGCCGCGAGGGCGCTGGTCTGTAGGCCACACGACCCGAGTTCGACGCCAAGTAGTGCCTTTCCCTCTCGGCTTTTTGATTTTTTGTCATTTGCTTTACAACTAGATTATATTTCAAGACTTTTAAAATAAATTCCGTTTTTCTGGCTTAAAGATGGCTGAGAAAAAGCCCCTAACAGACTGCTCTTTTATAAAGACTGCTCTTTTATAAAGTAGATCTTGAATCCAGTTATTTATGAGCTAAGTCAATTTTTTTTGAACGCTTATACATTTTGTTGAACAGTTTTTATAATAAAATGCTCAGAAATCCATATATTGTTGTCTCTCTGCAACTGCATGTTTAGATGTATAGTTGTATGTTCACATGATGACGTTTTTTTCGGTACTACAGCTTTTTGTTTGTGGGGTATTGTTGTCGGATCCTTTCCCCCGCTTTTGTGGAATGCTCGGATCCACTCAAGGCCATCGAACTCCACTTTGGGAATGGCATGGATGGCATCGATGGATAGATCTGAATAGAGAATAGAGAGAACAAGCTTTTTCCTTTCTTCAAATTCTTGAATTCATTCATTTTTCTTGACAAATACACATTGACCTTGTAATCGAAAACATTTGAAATTTCTTATTTATATTGAAATTTCCAAAATTAATGCTATCTAACTACTTTAAAGCATACTTTAAAGCTATTTTCATTCTTTTTTTCCTCTTTCCTCTATTTCTGAATTACTCTTTATACCTTTATTCACTTTATACCTCTATTCACTCTAATATACCTCTATTCACAAATCCCACTGTCTTTTTTTCACTAACTCTAACTTTATAAATAAATTTTCTTTGTTAAAGCCTTAACTTTTATTTACCAGAATGAATCTGAGTGACATATTCCCGATTATTCACGATATTAATTCTACAATCGAGCCAATTTCTGCAATCCGATGGATTTCCGATATTATTCTAACAGATCCAAGAAAAACTGGGTAATTTAAAGCAGATTTTGACTAAATAGAAAGTTTAGAGAAGGTGATGATATCCTTTCAACAATGTCAATCACAAGTGGATGGCTTCAAACAATGATTCTCTTAATGATTCACGGACTTTCTTTCATATTGAATATTTTCTTCATCATGATTCTTGTTGGACGAAGGAAAACGAGGAAAGTGATGAAGTGAGTTTATTGTTGAAATCGTTTTTAAATCTTACTTTTAGGCTTCGAGTGATGTTGACAGCGATATCAGTGTTAAATGTGATCTTCAATGTAACATGGTTTATTTGCATTGTTATTCACTATTTGGTGAATCTCGAAGAAGGGACTCTCATTGATGATTTGGATAAGGAATTCAGTCAAATTGTTTGGGTCAGTTTTTTCGCTTATCTTTGACGATTTTGATTTAAAAAACAGGCTTTTCTGACTCCAAAGAGGCACCGAGAGATAATTAATAGTTTTACGGCCATGAATTGTTCCTATGCTTGAAAGATGGAGTAAAACAAATACAGCCAATTGATTTTCCGATCCCAAAAACCCTCGGATGCAAATTTTTGGCTTTAGATCTCATCAGAGCAATGTTTACAGAACAAAAGAAAATCACTTTGTTAGGTAAGCTAGAGGATCTTTGTGTGACCGCGTAATCGCTCGCGATCTGGCCAACGGCTTTCTGGTATACCCCGGGAAAGTCGTTTCGTATCGGGTTGTATTCCTATGCCTCAGTCTGGTAACCAATCCACTTATAAGCCTCATAGGGGTAGCACAATCTCAAACAGCAGATTTTCAATCGGCCAACTTTTGACTAGTGTTCGTGAGTTTCCTCCACTGTCCAATCTTCGATTCCAAGTACCTTTAGTGGTGCGCAGGGGACTGCAGGGAATTTTTTGATTTTTCCCAGGACTTGTCCGTAGGGTCGGCAAAGAACTAGCAATAAAAATGAAACTCTGTAGAAAGTTAAAGGATCTCCGCAACTAGACACTTAAAAGTTATCAATCAAAGTTCACGTTAACGATAAGACAGAGCCGTGCCTCTCTTGTTTTCTAAAAAAGTCACTAACTGAATAATTTCCAGGAGATTTTCGGGCATCAATGTGTAGATTCTCTTTTGGCAGTGCAATCGGTTTTCTTGCTTAGTTTAAGGTGAGTGAGCCTTTCTGAACTTGAACGTCAAGATCTTTAGCATTTTTAATTAATATTTCAGTATGGATCGATATTTAAACCTTTTCATTGACTATTCTCCATACATTGGTGGATGGTGTGAAATGATTTCAATCTTCACAATCCCTTTTCTTCTCGGTATTATTATTTTCGATCATCGATGGGTTGAGTTCCTTGTGCCTCGCTCAAGTGCTCTCTTTGCCAGGTAAAAACACTAAAATAAGTTTATAGTTAGCTTGCAAGGCTCAGACTCGGCTCAGCTCAGCTCAGGCTCTGCTCAGGCTCTGCTCAGCTCAGCTCAGCTCAGCTCAGGCTCTGCAAGGCTCTTGCAAGGCAATTGATGATAAAATTGTGGATTTAGTGAAAAATCTCTTTCAGATTATGTGGCCTTCTTCTTCCCCATCTCCTTTCATTTGTCCTTTTATTAGTTTCATCGATGAGACCTCCACCTACATTTGACTATGAGCCTCGAATGGCATCATCTCTAGCCAAGTAATAACAAAATCGTTGTCAAAACCGTCTTTCAGATCTTTACCAATAGTTCTCTTCATGATTGTCACAACGGATCTCTTTGCTCGAGCTGGAATCTTGTTTGAACTCCTCGAGCTTAACTTCGGCTTTCTCATCGTGATCGGTTCTGATTCAGCCGATTATTATTTGAATGAATTCTTCCGCAGCTGGTATCAGGTATTATAGAAAATACGATATGAAAATAAATATTCAGCTGTCAAATATTTTGATTCATTGCTTTCCTCTTTATTTCGTACTTTCATTGATTCTCTTTGTGAGGCACTATCGACAAATGGCTATGCGAATATTGCCAAGTGAGTGAAAGAAAAATGAACATGAACATCATAATAACAAATATTAAACAAATATCTGTATAAGGTTTAGGCTGTTGCTGCTTTTGTTGTGGAGAGAAACGGGAAAAAGTCGACTACAGCTCGGAAACGATTCGATCAATGATGGCTGAGCAGAGGAAAAGACGAATGCTTCAAGCATCAATCCATTGATATCAAAAATAAATAGAGTTTATCGTTTTACAAAACCAAATCGATTCTACATATTATTAGACATCTTTAAAGGCTTTGAATTAATGTCAACGTTGTCCTATTGAGTAATCAAAATCGAACCGTATTGGAACCGTATCAGATCAAAATAGGAACCGTATTGGAACCGTATTGGAACCGTATTGGAACTGTATTGGAACCGTATTGAAACCGTATCAGATCAAAATAGGAACCGTATTGGAACCGTATTGGAACCATATTGGAACCGTATTTGATCAAAATAGGAACCGTATTGGAACTGTATTGGAACCGTATTGGAACCGTATCAGATCAAAATAGGAATCGTATTGGAACCCTATTCGAACCGTATTGGAACCATATTGGAACCGTATTAGATCAAAATAGGAACCGCATTGGAACCGCATTGGAACCGTATTGGAACCATATTGGATCAAAGTAATCAAATCAAAGAAACAAAATCCAAAGAAACATGGCACATAACTTTTGTTGAATGCATAGGGCAAAACTCAATTTCCTTAATTTCCCTATTCCTGCATAAGTTTTTCAAAAAATTCTTTCCAAAAAATGATTGGATAACCGATAAGATTGGATCGAAAATCCTCGAGAAAATTGAGGAGATCTTTTCTCTCTCAAAATTTTTGCTCATTCGTTGAAATGAATCGAAAAAGAGGTACAGAAAAGCTGGAAAAAAAAATGAAAATCCATCCATTCATCCATGAAAATCCTAGCTAAAATAAAAAGAGAACAAGTCAAGATAAACTGAGATCATTTTCTTGAAAGATCTCTTTGTTCATCCTAAGATTTTAACTGCCTTGATTGGCAAGGAAAGTATCGATTCTTTCATTTGGATTAACTAGTAACTTCATGCAAATTTACGCCAAATTTTCATATTTCTGGTATCATATTACTGGTTTATCTCAAAAAATGTCTTTAGACTCACATTTTTCACTTATCATTTCAACCCAAAGTTTGAGCTATGTTGCTGATTTTTTTTACAACTTTAACTCAAAAGTCAAGGCTAATTCGCTTTGAGATTCGCTCACTCGATCAGTTCCAATCCATCATTGAATCCAAATTTGGATTAACATTTTCCTATTTCCCTCAATCATTTCCTATCACTCGTCCCGAGCTATCATTTCACCCTTTGGGAAGAGAAAACTAGCGATTTCACTAGTCACTTCCTTTCTCAACTCTTTCTCAACTAGCGACTTCCTTTTGAACTCTTTCTCACAATAGAGTTTTTCTTTGGCATTGTCTTTGCTTTTTTGTTTTGGTTCTAGGAAAGAGATCTTTAAAGGTTACGGGCAATGATGATCATCACTGACCGAATCCAAATTGCGGGAGTGGGACAAATGCGACCTTTTTTTGCGCACCCGGACATTTGCGCACCTTTTTTTCCGCACCTTGCCCATTAGCGCACCTTTTTCGCGTTTTAAAAAAAGCTCTAAAAGCTAATATTAACCAATTTCTATTCCAAATGTTGTTTTTCTAGGTAATTTGAGGGTGTTGAATTCAAATTTTGACATAACAGAGCGTGTGGAACCAATTTGAAAGACAAAACGGCTAGATCAAATTACAGAAAATTGTCGATTTTTCTCTTTGTATAACTCCGTCCGTTTGTTTCCACAAGCTCTGATATGTCAAAATTTCGATTCTACGCCCTAAAATTACCCAGAAAAACAACTTTTGAAATAGAAATTGGTTAATATTAGCTTTTTTAAAACGCGAAAAAAAGTGCGCGAATGGGCAAGGTGCGGAAAAAAAGGTGCGCAAATGTCCGGGTGCGCAAAAAAAGGTCGCATTTGTCCCACTCCCCAAATTGCTAATCTAACTTTAAGATAAGCTTTAAGCAAGTTCTTCACAGATTCCCAACTCTTCCCTATGCCCATTTTCCGCTTCATTTCCAATGGTACACGTCAAATCTTTCCCTTTTCCGTGAAAAAATCTGGCGGAAGCGGTCGAGTATCTCCATTTTGCGCATCTCTCAATTGAAAGAACAAACATTTGTCTCGAAAAGAAAAAAGAAGACCCGATTGGCCTTTTTCCAAAAAAAAAGAGAAAGAGAAACACGTGAATGAGAAGAGAATTGAAGGACATTCAAGAATTAACTCTTTCCTTTGTGTTTTCCAAAAAACAACCTTTCCCTTGTTGGGACTTCCTGTTTTGAAAACAAACAAATAACAGCTTTTTTGTGAATGGGAATCGAGATGTGATTCATCTTTTGAGGGAAAGTTAATAGTTAGAAGGATTTGAATTAAGATCTAGATGAACTAGATGAGCTTTCCAAAGCACAGTTTATTTAGTACATTGATGTAAGATTGGTTTATGTTAACTTTAACTTGAAAGATTGGTTTATGTTAACTGGATAACTAGACCAGCAATGTTATCACTGGATTGCGTATGTCAGACGCTTACAGTAAGATTAGACAGATTAGATTTTCAAAGCAGATTAGATTAGACAAATTTTGCAAAGCTGATCAGGTGACTTTTCACGAGAACTTGTGCATGTTTTGTCTGAAAAACCTGTTTACAAACATTTTTTTGAAACATAGATCCAAATTCGGCGAGATTTGTTGCAACAAGTGATCTCAAAGTGCATCAAGACAAAAACGAAAGCCCTCCGCACACCTAAACACACATAAATTCCCCGGTATGTTCAAATTCACGTCACTCGATTTCAAAAGAAATATAGTTACATAAACTCGTGATAAATTGAAAAGAGAATTCCAAAATTTGTGTTGTTTTTATTTTCTCTTTTTATTGTAAACAAGAATACACTTTGAGCAATTGAGTAAACGTTTGAATAGCAACAAAAATCTGAGACAAATTTTGAGATCTTTTAAGTCCAAAAGACCAAAAATTGATACGGTATTTTCTCTAAAAGTATTGCATCCTGAGCGTCGCCTAAATTCCTCGAAATCTCGAGAACCGCTTATCAGAACCTATCGATGTGGGATCGGAAAATGTAGCTGACGATGAGATCTAGTGGGTGATTAGAGTGTTGAGCTTCTGTGAAAACTTTGAAAGCCGTAAAATAGCCACCAACTCGGCCCTTCGGGGTCAACTATTAGAGAAAATACGGTACTCTAATCATTCAATAGCCTTGAATCTCCTCTTGAAAACTAGACAAACTAAACTACTGTATTTTCTCTAATAGTATTGCATCCTGAGCGTCGCCTAAATTCCTCGAAATCTCGAAAACCGCTTATCAGAATCTATCGATGTGGGATCGGAAAATGTAGCTGACGATGAGATCTAGTGGGGGATTAGAGTGTTGAGCTTCTGTGAAAACTTTGAAAGCCATAAAATAGTCATCAACTCGGCTCGTCAGGGTGCACTACTAGACTTTTAGTATAGACTTTTTAATTTTCTTTTTTTGTATTTTAATTTGGAGAGATTTTTGAATCTAAAATCAAATTTATCTCTAATTTTTCCTTTTTAACAATGGCAAAGAGCTAAAAATAAAGTCTTAAACCTGATTTTAATAGATTCAAGGTGTTTTCCATATCTATTGATTGTTATAATCAAATTCTACTTTTGATTTTCACTTATTGAAGGGAAATTTAGAATCACAAGCTATCACAAGCTTGGAGATCTAAAATTCAGAACTTTATTAGTTTTCTTAACACTTTCACAACAATAAAGCCCACATAGCCATACTAATGACGAAGATTTTTAATGTAAACTCGGGGTAGGCTAGTTTCCGCAATTTTTTTTGCGCAACAGGATCATTTGCGCAGCTGGGTCGTTTGCGCAACTCGCCATAACTTTCTTCTAATTCGGCCAATCTTTATGATTTTGATTTCATTTTGTAGATCTTAATAAGTGCAATAAAATGACACCAAAATCATTAAGATTGGCCGGCTTAGAAGAAAGTTATGGAGAGTTGCGCAAATGACCCTGTTGCGCAAAAAAAATTGCGGAAATTAGCCTACCCCAAGTTATCAAGCAAGTTTTGTTATCAAGCAAATGAATGATCGCAAATGATCCTGTTGCGGAAACTAGCCTACCCCGTAAACTCAAATTTTTAAGGACTTTTATTATTTCTTTCTAACTAAGTTCTTTTTAACTAAATAAATAATCATCTAAATTGGTGTATGACTATTTTTTTTGGCATTTTGACGAATATTGACAATAGACTTATGCAAACATAAAAGTACTGCCAAGGTAAGTGCAGAATAATATTCTGTTGACTCATCGACTATTTTGAGGTGGATTTTTGTTGAACGGAGAGAAGAGTCATCGATGGTTTGAATGAGTCGATTTGAATAAACCCTTTCTCTTTTCCACCCCACCCCCAAATCAACTTTAAAAGAAATACATAAATATTTGACTCTTATACATTTTCAGTTTAGTTTCTTAGACAAATGTCTAGATTTTTAGATCTAGATTTT